CCAATGACTTCTTTTTCCTAAGGTTGTAGCATCTAAGACCATTTTAAGGGAGTTGGATCCTCTTTTCCATTGATTTGCTTTTAATACAATAGATCACTTATATATTTACTAGATTTTTGGGCACCGTGACCTAATTATTTAGGGGTTTTCTAGACCTTCTTTATATGTCGCTACTGTTCAACTGGAGGCATATTGTTCTCTCTTATTTTGTCCCTCTATTTATCTTAGAGCATTTTCTATCACGGGTGCCCACATATTGTTGTTGATATGGCTATTACTGAGAGACTTGAGACTCCTACCATTGAGGCCCCTAGTGTTAAGACCCTTACTGGTAGTACTTTCACCTAGAATGTACCGCCTAGTTCGCCCACATTTATGTTTGACCAGTATACAGTACCTACTGGCATAATTACATTACCGGTAATGCCGGATATGATCTCTCAGAAGGTTACAACATAGCTGTTGAACGGTCGTAGCTTTGTTGAGTGTCACGCTCATTCCAGCTTTTCTTAGGCTATATAGGGAAACTTAGTTGGTTAATGGGATCTCACCTAAAGCCAACTGATGACGACCCTAGATATTCTGCGTAATTCTCTAAGAACTGTGCTATATTCTTAGATGGTTATTTGGCTCGATGAAGCCATCTATTTGTAGAATTCACCAGTTTCATAACTTTGTTCCGAAACTATGGAGTGCATTATCAGAAATGTATTCCCAGTCAGGACGGGGAGTTCGTATTTATGAACTTTCTCAAGAGCTCTCCTATGCTCGACAGTGAGATATGACGATTTAGGATTATTATTACTATTTGACCCAGCGCTGGCTTGATTATGAGACTCTCTGTCATCTTGCTACTATTCTAAGGATAGAGCCAAAGGGAGCGACAATCTTGCATACTCGAGAACTGGAGGATAAGATTCACAAATTTCTTATGGGGCTTCGTGATGAGTTTGTGGACCTCATTTTCAAATCTTCTTGATAAGGAGACTTCCGTCTCTTTATGAGGTATATGCGATGATTGAGTAGCATGAGCACCGCATCCGAATTGCATCACTTCTAGTTGAAACCTTGACTCCTCAGGCCGACCAGGCCCTTGCAATTGCCACAGGGTCTTATTCAGGACCCTCAGGCAACGGTGGATAGCGCTTGGACCAACGCCGTCAGGGCGCCCTAGATCAATGTAAACTGGGGGATTCTTGTAAGTGCGATTACCATACCACCACCTTTTGTCGTTACTCCTCCTTGGCAGAGTGATATGGGTGCTATCACTTCTAACTTCAATATATTTATGCCAACCAATACTTCTTAGGGTCCGTCTATTGCTCTCGTGACTTTCATATTTGCGCCAGTCTATCTCCCCTTTGGATGCTGGACTCGGGTGCGGATGGTCACATAACAAATGAGGCCCATCACACTTAACCACTTTTGACGAGCAGTTACATATATAAGTTCAATTAGCAGATGAGACACATGCCCCTGTTGTTAGTAATGGTACAGTCTGCCTCTCAGATTGCTTTACATTACGTTCAATTTTTCATGCGTCAAAGTTGGTCATGAATCTATTATTTGTACATTAGTTGTTAGCTAAAGATTTTCACTGTGTTTGTGTTCCTATCTGATTCGTGTTATTTTCAAGACCTGAGTACCAGGAGGAGTATTATCAAGAGACATAAGAGAGATGGAATGTATTATCTAGGCAATCCACCTCTAATTTCACTAATTCCTACGCTTACACTCCCTGCACCTACCTAATCTTTATCTATTCCTAGCTTGCATACTAGTATTTTACCTAATAATTGTCGTTATAATTTTTCGTCACAAACAATTTAGTTGTGGCATAATTGGTTTGGACATACAAATTTTAAATATTTATGTATGTTGTTCCTTACTCTGAGCAATGCTCGTGGTGGTGGTAAACTTGACTGTGTTATATGTTTTTTATCGAAACATGTTAGGATCAGTTATATTTCTCGCATGTACTAGTCACCTAGATCATTTGACCTAATACACTCTGATATTTAGGGACCCTCCCCTGTTATTGTTATGTCAGGTACTCAATACTATGTTACATTTATAGATGACCATACCCGTTGTACTTATATATACCTTTTGCATAGGAAGTTCGATGTAATCCCTGTCATCACTCAATTTCTTCAGATAATTAAGAGACAATTTGATGTCATTGTTCGTGCTCTTCGTTCGGACAGAGATGGTACGTTGTATACTTAGAGGTATGGGAGTACCAAAATCTTATTGACATTTTGTGTTTTGACTTCTACTTTTCTGTGCAATCGTACGCCGAGTCGTGTTTTCCAACATAGAGTTCCCTTACAAGTCTTATTCCCTGTGTGGACAGTTTTTTCGGTCCTTACTCGTGTTTTTGGCAGCACATGTTTTATTCAGGATCGGTCTCATACTCACCATAAACTTGATGATAAAACAATATGTTGTGCCTTTGTAGGCTATTGTCATCAATCTAAGGAATATTGGTGTCATGCTCCTATCAGGCGTCGTATGTATCACGGTCTAGATATTACCTTTCTTGAGCATATTCCTTATTTTTCTTTCAGTCCTGTGTCTACCCTCCAATTAATGATACTCCCTTTGATTTTCTATTACCACAGGAGCTAGAGTCATTAGTCACTATTATTACAAAGTCACCAGTCTCTCCCTCTCCAGTGCCGCTCATCTCTGTCACTACAAAGTCACCAGTCTCTCCTCCTTTGCAGGTTTATGTTCGTCGCCCTCGCTCTCATTCTCCTACTGATGTCTCATTTATCTCAGGTGATACAGGTAATATTTATAAGTTCATTGAACATATTAATACACCTGTTGTTAGTACTTATGAAATTACAGGGAGTCAACCACTTACTTTACCTGATGAGACACTGTCCATGGAGGATGATTATTTAGGGCGTCGTTATCCACGGCGTGATCATCATCCAGCTGTTCGTTATGGTTGGACCGTCAGAACTTTATATCCAATCTCTAGTTATGTTTTTTATGATGATCTGTCTCCTACATTTTGAGCTTATAGTATGGCCTTATTAAATACGCCTGTTCCTCGCTCTGTTTCAAAGGCTATGTGGTAGCCCCAATGGATTCTTATCATGCAAACAGATATGGACGCCCTTCACCATAATCATTCATGGGATCTTGTCTATTTACCTTCAGGGGTGAAGCCTATTGGCTGTCACTAGGTTTACACCCTTTGCCTCCGCAGCAAAATTGATTATCGTTCGGTTCATTATTTCTCGAACTGCAAAGTACTCTTGTCCTTTTTATCAGTTAGATGTGAAGAATGCATTTCTTCAGGATGATTTGGACCAGAATATTTATATGAATGGAACACCGAACTTTCGTGGTGAAGGAGAGTATGTTGGAATGGTGTGTCGACTGCGTAAGTCTCTTTATGGACTGAAACAGTCACCATGAGTCTGATTCTCTCGGTTCAGTGGTGTAGTTGTACATTTAGGGTTCACCAGATATCATTTTGATCATACATGTTTCATTTATCATCCTTTTGGTATATGTGGATGATATTATTATTAATAGGGATGATATTTATGAGACTGCGCAGGTCAAGATAAATCTTGGGAAGGCCTTAGATGCGAAGAACCTTGGATTTCTGCAATGCTTTTTTAGGATTAAGGTTGCCCGTAACAACAGGGGTATTGTTCTTTCTCAGAGAAAGTATGTTCTAGATTTTCTCTCAGACACTGGGATGCAAACCAACATCATCACCTATGATTCCAAACCTGAAGCTTACTATTGAAGGTGAGGAGTTAAGAGATTCGACTGTCTATCAGAGGTTTGTAAGTAAACTTATCTATCTAGCCAACACTAGGCCAAACATTTCATTTGCAGTTAACCGAATTAGTCAGTTTATGTACAAGTCATGCCAGTCTCATCTTGATGCAGTTTATCATATTCTTCGATACCATAAGTCATGTCCTAAACTTTGGTTGTTCTACACATCAAAATCTCATATTCTCTAACCTATTATTCAGATTCAGATTATGGAGAAGTGTGTGACAGTTGATCTACTACAGGCTTCTGTGTTTTTCGAGAGACTCATCTTATCTCTTGGAAAAGCAAGAAATAGGTAGTTGTCTCCCGCTTGTTAGCAAAGGCAGAATATTGAGTACTGGCACTTGGCACGTGTGAGATTATCTAACTACGATCGATTCTTGGCAAGTTGGGATTTCTAATAACTTCTTCATCCACATTATATTGTGATAATCGATCTGTTATTCACCTCGCTTCTGACTCTATACTATACGAGAGGACGAAACATATAAAGATCGATGTTCACTTTCTTCGGGAGAAGGTTAACTGCGGTATTGTCACTCCATTATTTGTGGAGACTAGTGATCAAGTTGTAGATATTTTCACCAAACCTGTCACTCTATCCGTTCTCCGCGACTCCGTTGTCAAGTTTGGGTTAGTTGACATTTTTGCACTTAGCTTGAGGGGGAATGTTGAAATTTTAGTCTAGTTTATTAGGGTTTTTCCCTTTTTATTTACTACGACTTTTATGTCTTGCCTAGACTAAAGATATGTTCAGGTCGTTTTATACTATTGTTTGGCTATATATACAGAACTCTACGCTTAGTTTTGCATTCCTTCTTTGACTCATAGATATCTCTAGTCATTGCAATGAGCGTTTCCAAGTGAAGCTACTCATAACTTTAGTGGAACTCCAGATGAGAGATTAACAACGGAAAGGAGTATGATACGATTTTATTTAGTTTCTTTATCTAGTCAATTTTTATATGGATATAATGCCCAAAGTCTTGGAGTCTGTTAAGCCTTATTTTATGTCCTTTGATTTTGTTTCCTTTTTGGTTAGGATCTTCCACTATAGAAACGTGTAGATGTCGTATGGCTGATTATCGAAGAAATAATATTACTGCCTTAAGGCTTTTGGAAGTCAGAACCCCTTGAAGTGATCACTTTTCTTCTCTTTCTCATATTTTATTTTGATTTTCTGATTCAAGCCTTATCATTTGGTATCCGAGCACGATCTTGCTTCACCGAATATGACCAAAACTAATACGGAACGTGATGAACAACTCAATCACCACGGCACTGCGTTAGATAAATACAGAGAAAATATTGCGAAACTTCAAACAGACGTGACAAACATCAGCAAGAAGCTTGATGCAATCATGGAACTGTTGTCACAACTAGCCAAGGGTCGAGCGGGTTCAACATTCAATCCATCCGGATCACGGGTGGAGGACCCGACGGAGTTGCATCAACCCGAAAACCGCAAAAAACAGATCATGGGACAAGCGGCTATGTTTCAAGAAGAACCCCCTCGTCGCCTCTAGGATGGATATGGTTGGGATCGAGAGTAAGGATTCCCTCATGTGAAAACTGAATTTTCACAATGGGATGGAGGAGATCTGTTTTGGTGGATTTCATGTGCAGAACAATTTTTTCAGCTCCATCGAACCATGGAGAATATTAAGGTAGAAATTGCTTCAATCAATCTTGAAGGTGAAGCAATCCAGTGAATGATTGGTTTGACTGTAATCGAGGTGTTCCAACGTGGGAAGAATTTGTAGATGGCTTGATGGTTCGCTTTGGCCCCTATGGATATGACAATGTGTAAGGAGAACTCGCAAAAATTCAACAGACATCTCTGTCCTGGTATATCAGAGCAGATTTGAGCGTCTTTAAAATCAAGCCAGAGATTCGTCAGAACAACAGTAGGTGGGAACCTTTGTGGAAGGACTAAAACCAGAAATTTGAAGAGAAGTCAAAGCATACCGACCATGCAGGATGTTAGCTGCTATCTCCTTTGCTCGCTTACGGGAAAAGCGCTTGTCGGAAGATGAACAACAGACCACTCCGAACTACACGTCAAGGAGTAGTGATTTGAACCAAGAAAATGGGCCTCACTCTGTTGCTGCAAAAAAAGGTGCGACCCCGAAGCGGTTGAGAAACATGAATTGAAAGAACGTACAACGAAAGGCTTCTATTGGTACTGTGATAAAAAATGGCAAAAAGGACACAATTGCAAATAAAAACAGTTGCTGATGATTGAGCCTGCTAGAGATATGAATGAGGAACTTGATTGAACCGATGACCAGGTAGGCAGCAGGGGATGTTAATCCGAGTCATTAAGCATCTGTAACAATTTTAATTGATTCAGGGAGCACTGCTAATTTCCTAGACTCAAAGACTGCTTGAAAACTTGTTTGCCCTGTTGACAAGTATGATACATTTGAAGTTAAGGTTCCTCATATAAGGTCATTGACATGTCCAGGAAAATGCTCGAATGTGAAAATTTTCGTACAGGGCCAAGGTATAGCTACTGATTTATTTTTATTACCATTGGATGATTGTGATTTGGTCCATGGGACCCAGAGGTTGAGTAATTTGGGAGACATATCGTGGAATTTCTGAGATGACTATGCAATTTACCTTAAATGGTAGGAGAATTGTTCTAAATGGTAATTGCCAGTGTAAGGTTACTACAATAAGTGCCCATCGGATGGAAAGGGTTCTTTGAAAATAGCCTGAGATATTTGTTGTGGAATTAAGGAGGATTCATAGCTTGGAGATGCGCTAGAAACATTCCAATGATTTGAAAATTATTCTTTCAGAATTCATAGATGTGTTTAAAGAACCCAAAGGGCTACCACCAAAACGACCACATGATCCGAGTAGTGGTCCCGCGAATGTAAGGCCGTACCATTATCCATACATTCAGAAGACTGAGATTGAGAAAATAGTTATGAAATGTTGAAAACAAGAATCATCTGACCAAGTGTTAGTCCACACTCCTCTACAGTCTTGTTAGTTCCCAAGAAAGATGACTCGTGGCGGATGTGCGTGGATTATAGTGTCTTAAATAGCAAAACGGTTAAGGATAAGTATCCTATTCCGGTGGCAGACGAGTTGCTTGATGAACTGGGTGGAGCCTATCATTTTACCTAGTTGGACTTGCATTCTGGGTTTCACCAGATTCGCGTATGCGCGAAAGACGTCCCAAAAACAGCTTTTTGCACCCATGATGGCCATTATGAATTCTTGGTGATGCCATTCAGCCTGACAAATGCACCGTCAACATTTGAGAGCCTAATGAATAATATTTTTCGGCCACATCTCCTTAAGTTTATCTTGGTGTTTTTTGATGATATTCTAATATATAGCAAGTCGTGGGACAACCATTTATATCATTTACGAATTAATCTCGCCCTCGTACGGGAGAATTGTTTATTTGTCAAAAAATCAAAGTGTAGCTTTGGGCAGCCCGAGGTCAAGTACCTTGGCCATATTATCTCTAAAGATGGTGTGACAGCGGATCCTTCTAAAATTCGGGCTATGATTGAGTGGCCTATACCAAAAAATATTCGAGGGCAAGGTGGATTTTTGGGATTGACGGGTTACTATAGAAAGTTTGTCCAGGATTATGCCAAGATCAATGCACCATTAACAGCCTTGCTATGTAAATATGTATTTGCTTGGGGGGGCGGCTGCTGATGAGGCTTTTGTGAAATTAAAGGTAGCTATGTCAACTCCCCCAGTTTTTGCTTTACCTGATTTTGATCAATTATTTGTGGTTGAATGTGATGCATAGGGCATAGGAATTGGTGGTGTACTTATGTAAGAGGGCCAACCTTTGGCCTATACTAGCAAGGTACTATTGCTGCTTCACCAACAATTAATAGTCTATGACAAGGAGATGATGGCTATAATTCACTCAGTTACAAAGTGGAGAGCCTATTTAATTCCATCATTATCAAATAAGGACGGTCCACAAAAGTATTAAGTATATCTTAGTGCAGCGGGTTTCCTCTATGGAGCAACAAAAATGGATTTCCAAGTTACTGGGTTATGATTTTGAAATTATCTACAAGAAAGGCAAGGAAACTGTGGTGGCAGATGTTCTTTCCACTCCTATTTATGATAATCTTGATGTTATCCAGGATGAATGGGTTCATGGCAGGATGAATGGAAGTTTTATATTTTTTTTTTCCCGATAAGAAACCATAAGAAACCAAGTACTCATTAATAATGGAAAAAAATTACGGACGAAAGAATAGATCACCCTCTTTTATCAAAAACTGCCATAACGACTCAATAACCTAGCTATAATTAATTATTAAATCAAAGTTTCAACTCATGGGACAAGTTAAAAACACAATAGAGCAATTTGAGCATTATGAGAAGGGGATAATCGATAAAGTTAAGAAAATAACAATAAGGGTATGTAACCCCTTCACACACACAACAATGAATTTAATAAACTGTGAGAAGGAAACCATCCCTGAAAAATATATTTCCATTGGTTTCAAGTTGTCACCCAAACAATCACATGAGAATCTCAATCTATCCTGAATATTGTATTTGCTTAAGATGAAATAGAAAACTTCTTTTAACCCCTTTGTGGTTTGACCTTATTACACTTCACCCATGTATGTTTCAAATATAACAACATAAGCCCATGTAATTTTGACCCAAATAAACAGCTAACTCCATTAATGGCAGCAATAAAAAGACCATAATGCCCCCCTCTTATCTATTTTCTTCTATTTTCCTTCTCCTTCTTTGATCATTCAGTTTGCATTCGTCGGTCTTCTGCAAGCATTATTAGTACTAGACTAACTATCTGAAACTGGTACTCTTGGTGCGCTTCTAATTGATACGCCCATAGACCCTACAATTAAGCTAAATCCTAAAAGTGGTGAAGTTTTAAATGATATAGGGCATTATCGGAAGTTGGTTAGTAAGCTAATTTATCTTACAATTACATGCCCTGATATTACATATGTTATTGGTATGGTTAATCATTTCATAAATGCCCCTCGTAAGTCTCATTGGGAGGTAGCCTGTCGTGTACTTCGGTATCTAAAAAGGGCTTGCAAGAAAGGATTATTATATCATTCATTATTATCTATAACTGTTGTTGGTTTGTCTATCGCTAACTAGGTAAGTAGTCATAGTGATACAATCTACTTCTGACTATCGTACATTTGTCGATGGTAATCTGGTTACTTGAAAGACGCCGAGTATTGTATTACAACACATACTACTTGTGAGATGTTATAGGTCTATTCTTTACTTCGTAAACATACCAAACACAATGAGGTGGATCGTCATTTCATCGCAAGTAATTCAGTATTTCATCACAAGTAATTCAATATTTCATCACAAGTATTTCATCGCAACTATTTTCATCGTAAGTAATCCGGTATTTAATGAGTATACCAAACAAACTGAGGTGGATTGTCATTTCATTCGAGATCTCTTATTGTGAAAGAAGATCATCACTCCATATATCAAGGCAATCGTTGAAGTGACATTCTTACCAAACCATTGGCTTGCCCAGCCTTCAGCACTTTATGTTCCAAGTTGGGCATTTTTTATATTTATACTCCAGCTTGAGTGGAGGTTAGAATTCTTATTTTCTATATTAGACACAAGTCAATTAGTGTAGGGTAATATTCTAGTCACCTTAATATTGCTAGCCTACACAATTCGATTATTCTTTTCATTCTTTGTCTCTTCTCTTTCTCAATTCCTCCTTTCTAACCCTAATATTATTTTTACTATTTCAACTATGCAAATGATGATCAAGCATTGAAAAATAGTCACCTTGTCTACCTTGTAGATTTTATGATGTAATACATTTTAATCAACAAGTTGAACGTTTCCAATCAAAAAGAACAATCACTTGGTGTCTGAACGAAATCAATTCCTTTGATATCTACCATACATCAGTTAATTGAGAGTGTAGGAAATGATATGTTCAAGCAAACAAATAGATGGAAAAACGAAAGAGAAATATAATTCCATACAGAAGGCAGATTATGATGAAGAGGTATTTTTATCAGGTATATATCACTTACGTGGCAAGCTAACAACACAAAGTGAAGTAAAAATTTATACCTGGAGAGCTAAAATCCGATCTTCAACTGTGTTTTTAATAGTGAGGCGTGATACGATAACAGGACGAGTCTGTCCAATTCTATGAGCTCGATCAATGGCCTGATCTTCAGTAGTTGGATTCCACCAAAGATCCAAAAGGATTACTTGACAAGCAGCTACCATGTTTAGACCAAGATTCCCAGCTTTTAGTGACATCAGCATAACAGTCACCTGCAACAAATTGCAGGTTTTAAACATGAAATCATAATCCAGATTGTGACACTAAACAACAAAAAGTAAGCTAAATAGAGAATAGTTTGATTGTAAAGTTTTAGGGTTTCAAGAAAAGAAGAGAGGCTTGAAAATAGATGGAGAGGAGAAAAATAATGTGTGAAGGATAGCATGTTAGACTGTTGGGTCATACAACTACACCCCAGATTATGTATAACAGTAGGAAGTCAATTATACCAAATAGAGAATAAAACCTAAACTAAAATTAACCGTAACATAACAAGATTAAATCAACCAATGATTGACAAAATAGTTCCAAACAAACAAAATATATAATTATAGAAAATTTACATGCAATGTGAATAGATACAATTCTCAAACATGATTCTCAAAATCATAAGATACACTTCACCCATGTATCATTGGGTACAGCTTGATACCTATCATTCACATTTCACCAAATATAGTGCATTGCATCACAGAGAAGCATGTACTGTCCGCTACAGAGTGCAATTTTTATATAGGATACATCGTGTACACTGCAGCTCAATATCTCAACCAAAGTAAACAAAGACAACAAATCGCAGAATTTCAGTTATAATCAATAAAACTACATAGAACTAGCCATTCAAATCTTAAAATTTGATATTAATCGATTTAAAAATGAACCGCACAATTCACAACTTCTTCCCACCTACTTTCCCCATAGAAGAATACGATATTCCATATCTGCTACTTTCAAACAAGAGAAAGAAACAAGCATATAAGCATTTATGCATATCCACTATATGTTCCCTAAGCAAGGATCAAAATTTCGTTTTGAAACGGCCGAAACGTTTCTGTTTCCAAGAGGATCAAAACGAAACAGTAATGAAATCGAAATTCTAATGCTTCAAGGTGTTTCAGATTGTTTAGAGATGTTTTAAGATGTTTCGATATATTCCCACCATTGTTTCAGATTGTTTCGATATGTTTTGACTAATGTTTCATAATATTTTGAAAATAAACTCTCAAAATTTGTATACATTTCCACGTTTCAAAAACGTTTCTGTTTTCTAACTAACCAAAACAATACACTGAAACGAAATTTTGATCCTCGTCCCTAAGATAACCAAGTTCATGAATTTCGGTCAACAAGCAGTATGAGGTGCAACATACACTAGCCAAGATTTCATGATTACCTTGTCCCATGGAAATTGTTCACCTGCAAGTTGCAACTATTCAATACCCCTGTCAAAAATGGATCACACCAGGGTGTTTCCATGACCACATCAACTTTGAATTTGATAATTTTTGTCGAGGCTAACATACATAAACATCTTTGCCACTTCTTCCCTTTTATGCTATTTAAGATCTCTTGACTTTACTTCAAGTGACAGAGAAATACGATGTTTCTCTCCTCATAGAACTAATTCACACAACATTCTCCGATATATTTTTACTCACGCTTAATTTTTGGGTATAAAAGGGTTTAGTGCTTTTAGTTTTTAGCCGAGTACTTAATTTTATCTAGTGATTGATCTAATGTTTCTAATAAAATCTGCAAACTTGTTTCCAAGATATATGATAGTGGTTGTGCCCAAATGAAGCATCAGTTGCTTAGAGGGTAAAATTAAAATAATTGGTATCCAAACTTTAAAAACTTTACCAAAGGCACTAAGTTTTCTTTAACAAAAGGAAATTAAATGAAAGCGTACAATGGCTTGATGTCATTAGTTGCAATTTAACCAAGAAAATATATAATCGTTATTTTTTTGTCATAAATCTAGCCAAATTCCAAAATAATTGATACAAGAATAAATACAAAATCAATACGCACATGTTGTCAGCCAATTTGTTCCCATTCGGGGGCGTCTTTACAAATTGGACATCCATAAGGATCGTGTGTTGAGTACAACAAACAAGAAGTCTACACCCCTTGGAGGATAAAATACTAATGAAGACTTTTTATTATTTATTTTTGTCTAAATCAAAAAACTAATGTGAAGCAGGGCATGGTGTGAAAATTTGGACGGTTAGAATAACAGATTCTTCATCAAGCAACGAAATGTCGTGTCGAACCGTTTTGGAATTTCAACACACTGATACAAAACATGGGATGAATTATAAAATTTCAATGTTTCGGTTGAAACGGCACTATGTAGGACCATTTCGGTCGAAACAATACCGTTTTGACGAAACAGTATAGATTCGGTTCACTCCGGGCCAAAAGAAAAAATCATAGAGGCTCAAAAAACAGATTCCACAAGTCAAAATTCACAGGTCCTCCAAGCAAAAAAAAAAACAGAGAAGAGAGAGAGAAAGGCACCACAAAAATCGAAGAGACAGAGAAATTGAAGGAAAAGACTTGAGTAACTTACCTCCTTGAGTTCAGATTTGAGCAGATCCAACCATTTTCAAATTTTTCACGCAGATCCTCTTTGACTCTTGTCTTCATCGCTGCGAGCTGCAACCACGAGCTACCACTGGTATGTTCTTCTTCTTCTTCTCTCTCTCTGTCTCTATCTCCGGCATCACAATCGCCTACGCCTCTTTCTCGCCTCTCAGTGTTTTTGTCTGAGTCGTTCGTGTGTGAACTATTTTGCCTTTTATATATTTTTTTTGTTATAAGTATGAATAATTACATTTAATACCTCACTATAATTACATTTAATACCCACTGCAATTACATTTAATAGTTAATAACCATTGCAATTACATTTAATAATTACATTTAATACCCATTGTAATTACATTTATTACCCCACTGCAATTACATTTAATACTTAATACCCACTGCAATCGATACCCATTACAATTACATTTGATACCCACTACAATTACATTTAATGTTATGAGACCTTAACATTATGTAAAAGTGTGTTTATTTGATGAAAATTAAGTGTTTTAAACTAATTTAAGTGATTTCTGCCTTATGTCAAGCCTTTTTTACTTCCAATTTAAATTTATTCTTGTATAAATGGATATTAACCCAATAAATATGTTGAATTAATCAATTATTTAGCTTATTATTATAAATAAATAAATTTTATTTGTGTCCACGAGTTTCCATATTTTTTATGCGTTTCCATTGCATTTTTATTTTTGAGCTGACCGAATCGATACTTTGAAACAAAATTTCGATCCTTGTTCTTCATATTATTAGAATGCTAGGAGAAAGTTTATCTGTATCTTTAACATTAACCCATTTATTATATCCTTCCCAATAATTCCATCATTTTAGTGGGGTTAACCACACAAGACCCTTTCAAAACAAATCAGTGTTTCATTTCTTGAAGGTCTATGGAGTCGGGCAACTCCATGGACAGCACATGGTTTCACCCAATAAGTAGGGATGGTTGTGGACCAGAAAAAAACGGGTATTCTTCCAAACTCGTCCTGTTTGGACCGGAGATAAACCATACGTATTGGACGGTGAACCCGTGCAGAGATAAACGCAAAGATGAACTGACACTTACCTCCGCCTCGTCCCCACCCCACCCCACTATACTCGTTATATATATATATATATATATATATATATATATATATATATAATAATTAAATATTCTCCCAAGTCCCAAACAAAACAAATTAGGCCTAACTGAATCACTCCTCTATCTCTATTCCTCCGCCTCCACTGAGTCCCAACCCCAAGTCTATCAATTTTTCAATCCTAATCTCCCCATCATTGATCGCTAGCTGACCAGGCAGTAAGGTAACACTCTCTCTCTCCCCTACGCTCCGTCCCTCTCGCTCTATGGCTTCTCTCTCTCCATGATCTATCTCTGTCGCTCTCTGTTCATCGTTTCCTTTATGTTGATGACAGGAGCACTCAAGTTGTATCCTCGTTGATTATTGATCTCTCCAATGTTGATTACTGCAAGTAACTCTTGCTCTCTCTCACTTATATGTTTGTTTGTCCGTATGTATACATGAAAAACAAATCTCTTTCTCTTGCTTTTGTTAAAAGGATAAAAGGCTTTTTTTTTTCCTTGCAATAAGTGTTAAGTACTGTTAAAACCCCTCATTTGTTTTCCCAACTTTTTCTTTTTAATTTGATTTTTCTTATGTTATAGGCAATTTGTAAGGTATCTAGATGCCTAATAAATATCTGAAACACTTACCGAAAAAAATTAAAGATTTGAAACATCTTAACAAGACAAAATTATGTATTTCATAACCAAAAATTCAACTAAAAAAAGGGGTTGTACTGATTTGATTTTTTTCTTATTTTTGGCGTATGAACTAAGGATATGCTGCAGATAGAGTTCAGGATCTGTGTGTTGCTAACTGGGCAAGTACCGAGGAGGGGAGGGGGTGAAGACTGGGAATGTTTTTGGGATTACAATTTACCCACGGACGAAAATAAGGATGAAAACAGTTCCTGTTAACGAGAGTAGACAAGAGATGGATGGAATTTTTTTAGGCGGGTATGGGGATGGAAACTACACCCCGCCTCTGCTTCGGTCCACTCCCATCGCTACCAACAAGAGGATGATGGCAAATATTGCAAACCTTACCCACTAGACGATGTGATCAAATCACTATGGAAAGTCATGTGTTACAAGATCCAACAGGCAACACGGTGTTTTAATTTCTACGTGTACCTAGCAATTCCTATACAATTTCAAATTTAACTTTATATAACGTGCTTTGCCATTAAAAAATATAGGATTTCTCCCTCCCAAAAATATAGGACAATGATTCATCATATTAATCCTGATTTGACTGCTTTTTTCTTTTCAATCAAATTGAAAATATTCAAACACATTTGAAGTTTCAAATTTTTCATTTCAGGCATGGATTTGTGAGCATTGAGAACTAGGATCTAAAACAGAACCTTCGTCTAGAGGTTGTATGATATACAACTCAAGCTGACAATGGTTTCGTTTACTATTTTGTAATCTATTCCCATTTCTCGAAAAAAAGCACGCAAGATAGTACAATTTAAGTTTTGAGGTTACTTTAACACTGTTGTTGTTTGACCACAAAAGATGAGTTTTTAAGGTTTTTGCATTGATATTTCGTCCTAGTTCTTTGTATAAAAATTGGAAGAAGGGATATTACGATGAACGGGTGTCAGGCTTGTGTGCAGGTTGCTTTCGGAATGCAACTTCCTGATATCTAACTCATGACTAAAAAAGTGCACACAAAGTACAAACCAATTAGACAAAAAATTAGGAAAATGATCATAAAATGATACATGAGTTGCCAACTATGTTCCTAAACTATATGGAGAGGGAGTTTGATCACTAGAGTCCAAGGAACCTTATCATGAGTTGCCAACTATGTTCCTAACTATATGGAGAACTGAGAAGGAGTTTTATCACTAGAGTCCAAGGAACCTTACCTTAGAAAATAGTAAGTCAGATACCCATCTTAAACAAATCACGAATACTTCAAAGAATTTGAAAATTATTTTCACACCACAAGATAGAAGTTGAACCTCAGGATCAGAGTTGAATTCTTTGACAGCCTTATCCCTAGAAGCCAGACTCATTGTTCCATCAAGCCTCCTGAATTGCTTACAAGACTGGTTCAAAGAAATTTCCAGCAGGTCCAACATGCTAGTCCACTGAGAGAAAACAATAGCTTTTATAGGTCCGTTAGTTTGTGATTCTGAGCATTCCTTTGCTAAAGATGTAGAGTTTCCATTACATCGAACCAAGTTAAATGGCTCTGGACTAGGATCCTTTGATCTACAATGTGACTCGAGAATTTGAAGAGCAGCTTTGATTTTAGAAGAACTATACTCATCCTGAAGAACAATAGACTTCTCAGCAAATCCAGATGGGCTCCGGGGACTTTTATCTGGCTCATCAAAAATACAACTCCGTAAGATAGCCTTGGAAAATACAGAATCAGGACCAAGCTGTGCTTTGCATTCAGGTGCAGGACACATATTGTCATCTCCCGTCAAATAATCTGACACGCACTGATAGCAGAAAACATGGCCACACGAAGTAACAACTTCATCTTCAGGTGGATCCTGTAGAAGCATTACATAATTGAAAGTTTAAAGAAGATTGCCGTATGAAAGCAAACTGTTTATTTTAGCTAATCAAATAATGTCACAAGAAAACTATAGCAGGAGAGTAAAAAACACAATTAAGCATCGATTACTCAATAAAACAAAAACAATAATGGGCATATATCATTACTTAGAGCCGCACACCAAATTAGGATTCATGTGGCTAGTCCCAACTAGTTGGAACAAAATTTTGAAGGTAAATATATCTAAGAGTTTAGTTGTTGGAAACAATTCCTGTTAAAGAAGGTTTAGCTGGTGGGATGGGGTGTGCTGTGAGTGATTGGCAGTGTTGTAAAAGTTTCCCCTAGACCTGCGCCTCGGTTCAAGGCAACTCCAGATGTACCCCTTGCGCCTGAACTAGCCTCAAGCTACACAACTTCGATAGGCGATTAAGCAAGGCGCAAAGATTCTCGTTTTTTTCCCCTTCTTCTGTGTGGAAATATTTTTGGGCTAACTAACTTCCTTTGAGACATCAATATTCTCTGTGTTAATACATTTGATCCCTTCTCGTTCAATGATATTATGGAAACAATGAGTGCTTATTTGTGAGAATCAATGCGGAATCATATGAAGATGACAATTTGTCTTTGATGATGATTTTTTTTCTAATAATAAAACTCAAACCAATTGACAATGGGTGATGAGGCTTCGCAACGATGATACATTAGTTTCAGAGATGTTATTTTATTGATATAGGATAAGCTCTAACCCTCTCCAATGCATGCAACTCTCACCCCTACATGGAGAAATTAAAAGCATTGGAAGACTGTTGGTATATTTTGACCAAAGTTTCAAATTGTTTTGGGAGACATAAATTCCCAAATTTTTTATCTGTTTCCAAATACTATATAGCTGCTGCGAAGCCTATTGCTACTCCACTCAACATTAAACAGGTTTGGAGTACCACTAATGGCAAGCCTTTGGATGATCCCACTAAATATCACCAACTTGTTGGTAGACGGTTATACCTCGCATTTACACGTACCGACCTCGCTTATGTTGTTAATCTTGCCTCTCAGTTTATGCAAGCTCTTTGTACACATCAATTACAGGTGGCTAAGTGCATTTTTTGATATCTTAAGAGGGATCATCGATCATTGTCTTCTTTTGTACCGAGACTCTACACCTTGGTTGGCAATGTACTCCGATGTTGGTTGGGTTAGCTGTCATGATAGTAGGCGTTCTACTTTGGGATTCTATATCTTTTTTGACAATAACTTAATTTCATGGTCAGCTAGAAAACAACCCACTGTTGATCATTTAAGTACTGAGGCCGAATATCGAGCTTTTGAGGCTGCTACAGCCGAAGTCACTTGGATTCAACAACTTTTTTGTGATCTTCATGTTCAACATCAACAACCATCTCAAGCATTTTGTGAGAATATAGGAGCCACGTACTCATCTCAGAATCAATTCTTCATTCTCGCTAAACATGTTGCCATTGATTATCATTTTGCTCTTAAAAAAGGTTGGCTTGGAGATATGCAAGTTCATCATATTCCAACTTCTCATTAATTGGAAGACA